TGGCTATGTTGCTGGACTCCCACGTAGTAGACCGCGCTTCGAGTCCCGGACCTGGTGGCTTAAACTCATGCCGGGCGTGTCTGTGTGCATGCCCAAGATCCTGAGAGGAAAATGGAGGAGAAAGGATTGCGGCATGGCCAACCCCTGGGGGGAGGGGGGATTTCTCACTTTCTGTCTCTCTCTGTCTTTCTGGCGAGGGCACATGCCCTATAGAAAAAAAAAAAAGAGAAACTCTAAAAAAATGTATAGGCTTGTATCCTAATAGAAAGAACGAACTCAATTTTTTAAAAATAGAAGCATTAACAGTGTAACTACTATTTAATATTTAGTACTACAGAGAAAAGTTACTAGAGACTCCATCATGAGTTTGAATTATGATATAAAGGATGATTAGATGTCAGCTTGGTGAATGGGGCTGAGAGAGCTATATATGCAAAGTCTTAGTGGCCTTGACATGGCAGCAGGCATATGCTAGGAATTACAGAAGACTAGAATGACTTGAGCTTGAAAAACAAGTGCAGAGGAATCATCAACAATGGGAAGTCAACAAATGGATCTCAGAGGGAAAGGAATGGGAAGGAGATGTGAGATCGCTGTAATTGTATTTCAACAAATTATGTGATATTCGGAACTGATTGTAGGGGGCACAAGTTGACATGAGAAGACCAGTTAAGAGGCTAATGTTGGAGTCCAGAAGAGGTCAGCTTTGGGGTGGCACAGATACAAAAAGATACACAGATACAGGCAAGAGGAGGTATAATCGATAAGATTAAATAACAGGTTGGGAACTGGAGAATTAAAGGAAAGAGCGTTGTTAAGGAGCTCTGGTGAAGACAGAGAACAATGGAAGAAGATCAGATTTGAGAAAGACAAACTCTGGAGGTCAAAATTTCTGTTTTTTTTTGTAAAATAATAGGCAAATTTTTCTTTCAAGTCCTATTCAGTTCTTAAATTATATGACTGTATGATATAATTCAATCATTTTTCAAAAATAAGGAGTAGTGTTACTTAAAGGAGAATTCTAACTTATAGGTAAATAAGTTATCTACTGCTATATAAAAAATTACCCCAAGCATTAGTGGCATTAGACAACAAAGATTTGTTATTGCACAGTTTCTGTGGGTTAGGAACTCAGGAGCAGTTTGGCTGTGTCATTCTGATTCAAAACTTCCTAGAAGTGGCTCTCAGGACATTGCCAGGGGCAGCAGGCATCTAAAGGCTTGCATGGGTCTGCATGATCTATCTGTTCACAATAGCTCAGTAACATGGCTGTTTGCAGAGGATCTCAGGTCTTCACTGATGGCAGGAGGCCTCCATTTCTCATCCATGTGGGTATCTCCATAGGTTTCTTGAATGCTCTCATGACATGGCTATGTGCCAGCTTTTTTTTTTTTCTTTTTTTTGGAGAGGATTTTGCTATAGGGCGCGTGTGCTCGCCAGACAGACAGAGAGAGACAGAGAGACAGAAAGCAAGAAATTACCCCCCAGGGGGGATGGCCGCGCCACAATCCCTTCTCCTCCATTCTCCTCTCAGGATCTTGGGCACTCACATACACGTGCCCGGTGTGAGTTTAAGCCACCGGGTCCAGGACTGGAACTGCGGTCAACTTCGTGGGAGTCCAGCAACATAGCCATTACACTAACTGCTGGTCCCTGGCACCTCACTTTCAACAAAGCAAGTGATCTCAGAATGAACAAATGAGAAGGATGTCAGGGTGACTTTCATCTTTTTTAGACTCTTTTATCTAGTCTCAGAAACCACATACTTTCTTAGTCTGTTCCTGTTGCTTTAACAAAAATACCTTAAGCTGGATAATTTATAAATAATATAAATTTATTTCTCATAGTTCTGGAGGCTGAGAAGTCCAAGATCAAGGCATCAGCAAACTCAATGACTGGTAAAGGCTGGCTCTGCTTTGCTTGGCACCTTGTTGGTCTGTGTCCTCACACGATAGAAGGATAGATGGTGGAAAAGAGGTGAACACTATGTGAAGATGTGAAGCCTCTTTTGTAAGGGCATTAATCACATTCATGAGAATAAATCCCTCATGATCTAATCACTTCCTAAAAGTTTGATCTCTTAATATATTAGTGATTAAGTTTCAACATGTAAATTTTGAGGGTACCATATTCAGACAATAGCACATACTGTCAATCTCAATTTATCCTATTTGTCATAATTAAGTCACTAAGGGAATTAGGCTACAAAATAATTTGTAGGTATGTTTTAAATCACTACAGTAAAGTTTAAATCTTACACACTTGACACTTCACAAAGTACTGGGCACCTTTCCTCAAAAGTAAATAACACTATCATATAGATCCAACTAAATTAGAATGAAACTAAAATGTTTTAAAATTATTTTTTATTTTATTTTAATTTATTTTAGAGAGATTTTTTCTATAGGGTGTGTGCACTTGCCAGAGAGTCAGAGAAAGACAAAGAGACAGAAAGTGAGAAATCACCCCCTAGGGGGGATGGCCACACCGCAATCCTTTCTCCTCCATTCTCCTCTCGAGATTTTGGGCACGCACACACATGCGCCTGATGTGAGTTTGAAGCTGCCAGGTCTGGGACTCAAACCACAGTCTACTATGTGGGAGTCCAGCGACCTAACTATTATACTATCTGCTGGTCCTGACACTAACGTGTTATGAATTTCTAGTAAATAACTGCCAACATTCAGTGTGAGTATTTATTCATTTCTCTTTCTATAATGAGGCAAAGGTTATCTAGCAATGTGCAAAGCTTTCTGCTTCATAAACTAAAGGATATTTGGGTCAAATTATAAAACACTGTGACTCTGTACATAAATGATTTCTGCACATTATAAAATACATAATGAATTCTATAAATTATACATTGTGATATATGTGAAACAAATATTTTATATGTGAATCAAAATCAGAGTTGAAGAATTTTAGGGCTTTAAGGAAGCTTATAGATGATCTAGTCCAGCTTTCTTATTTAATAGATAAGAAAACTGAGAGTCCACCAGAAAGAAAAAGAAAAATATTTTTCTAGAGTTATCTTTCAGTTTGTGGCAAAGAGCAAACTAATGATGGAATAGTCCTTTGGTGATAGTGCTGGAAGGTGGGAAGAAGATTTAATACTCTTTGGGACTCTCATTTAGCCATGAAAATCTATGTGGTCATAAAGGATCTCTGGGGAAAGGCACAATGGGTGTAATATTCTCCCTTTTAACATTGTTTTCAAGTAAGTTAAAGACTAGTCCATTACATCTTTCAAGGTTACTGAGTTTCTTGTTCATACAAATTGGGAATAAAGCCAAGGTTATAGCTTCCCTCATTTAAACTCTTTGTGCTCAGTTTATTACTTACCTCTGAAATTTTATTGCCACTTATCACAATCTAAATTGGCTTTATTATATAAGTAGAGAGGATTAAGTATAACTTCTAGCTTGTCTTTGTTGAAGACTAATCTGCTCTTATCTGTGATGCACTGTGAATTATGTACTTATGTAATTTGATCTTAGATAGGGAGAGAAAAAAGGTAGGAACAGACCTGTGGTTTCCTGACTCAGAGTTTAGGTATGTTAGCTCTAAACCTCTTACTGACTGCACTGACATTTTATAGCCTTTATCAGCAGTTAAATTTGTATAACTTTCTAAGTATTCAAAATAAATGATAAGATGGTTTTATTTACTTTGTCTCTTTTTACTGAGAGTTATTATATTGGTGAATACATTGTGAGTACACACCTAATTAAATACGCAAGATAATGTGAATACTATGACATATCATGGTTTGTAAAAGAATATTTTCTTGCATTTCTTTCTATGTATGGATCTAAAATTTTTTTTTGTAATTTTTGGAGAGATTTTTGCTATGGGGCACATGAGCTTGCTGGAGGCACAGAGAGAGACAGAGAGACAGAAAGTGAGAAATCACAGAAGAGGGGATGGCCATGTCGCCATCCCCTCTTCTCCATTCATCTCTCAGGATTTTGGGCATGCATGCACATGTGCCCAGCGTGCGTTTTTGTTTTTTTAAAGAATTATTTATTTAATTCCATCTGTTATTATTATTTTTTCATTTGACCAGACAGACAGAAAGAGAGAAAGGGAAAGCACGTCACTGCCAGGACTAGGACTTGAACCGCAGTTGGCCACGTGGGAATCCAGCACCCTTAACCACCTCACCACCTACCAGCCTCCCCACTTCAACCTGAGTTTTAAGCCACTGGCTGTGGAACTCAAACCATGGTCAACTATGTGGAACCATTATGCCATCTGATGGTCCCTGTATGGATCTCTTTTTTTTTTTCCTTAGATTGTGATTTTGGGGAACAAAGGTTAAAGTGGCTGGATACCACATGGCCTAATGCATGGACCCAGTCCCCAACCCAGTGGCTTGAAAATCACATCAGGTACGTGTGTATGCGTGCCCTAACTCCAGAGAGGAGAATGGAGGAGTAGAAACTGCAGTGTGGTTATCCCACAGGGAGTTGATTTCTCACTTTCCCTCTCTCTCTCTCTGTCTCTCAGCAAGCTTATACACCCTAAAGCAAACAAAAGAAAAAAAAATGTGATTTGGTATTGTTACAGCGTTATTTTTTTTAAAGCTAATACATTTTGTATAGGAAAGTGTATTATGCTGATCCTTTCAATTAATATCTAATACCGTTGTAAAATCCTTGGCTTGTACAAAACGATATTCTCCAATGAAATAGTTGACAATGAAAAATCTATTTTAGTGTTATCTATGTTTACTTAACAAGTATTTATTTTATGTCTCACTTGCCATAGTCCTTTTAATTCATGTATTTCCAGGTATTAAATACAGATTTATTCTTAGATTGCCCACAATCGCTTAAAATCAGCATGTTCCTTACCTGCCTCATTATCTTTTTAAAACGTTTATTTCTTCAGAGACAGAAAGAGAGAGCAGCAAGCACACTCAATTGGGCCTCATGCTGAAATATCCCTCATGGTCTTCTCAGCCAGTCAGGTACATGGACACGTGTGTGTGCACATACCTGGTGTGTACAGGTCAATCTGAGAGCCAAATCCCAATCTTTCATACGGCTTGCAGTGCTGCAGAGCATGGAGCTGCTGCGGTGCCACTGAGGTTGGGCCCTATTATCTTAATTCCTCAGTTCCACTTCCTTTTTAATTGCATGCACTTGCAGGGCTAGGTGGGGAGGGGGGAAAAAAGAGAAAAAAAGAGAGTAAGTGAGCACCCCAATGGGACACGGACACAACGTAATCCTCTTTCTTCCATTCCTCATTTCTGTCAGGATTTTGGACAGACACACGTGTGCCTGGCTTGTTTTGGGTACATATTGAAAACTCGGAAATCATTTTCAGATCTTTTCTCTTATTCCTTAAAATCTGTCTCCAAATCTATTTCATCTCCTTCATCCTCACAACCTAGGTTTAGGCCCTTATCCTTCTCTCTTGTATGAGTCTTTACAGCGAAACTCTCTAAGGCATCCCTGTCAGTCTCACTAACCATTCTGTCACTGAACCAAGCAATCCACACGCATGCCAGTTACCTTACTAAAATACAAATCAAATCACTTTATTCCTCTTCTTAATCTCTCTTGTGGATAGACTATTTCCTCAGGGATAAAGGACAAACTTTGCCTCCTCAAATGGACCTTAACAGACCTTTCTGAAATCTCTGGTTATAAACATCAACTCCATCTTGCTGCTCGACCTCCAAAACTGGTTGCCCTTCCTCTGCTTCTCTTGAGGAACCCTTTCAACTCTCCATCTCCACATGGGTTCTGTCCTCCAGGCACAGTTTATTCGCCTCTTCTCTGTCTCCCTTGGCACTGCATGTCTATCTTTATTATAGTTCATATATCACTATAGAAAGCATTGCTTGCCTTTTCCATTACTGAATCAAGTCTTAGTGAACCCACAAGGGGCCTGAAACTCATTGTTTATTCTAGATCAAAACACTTTTGTTTATAAACCATTTTTTGCTAAAATAAAGTTTCTTAATTTTCCAGAGTGCTTTTTTTTTTTTTTTTTTTTAGAGAGAGAGACAGAGATTTTTGCTATAGAGTGTATATGCTTGCCAGAGAGACAGAAAGGGAGAAATCACCCCCTGGGGAGATGGTCACACTGCAACCACTTCTCCTTGGTTTCCTCTCGGGATATTGGGCATGCACATGCACATGCCTGCGGTGAGTTTCAAGTTGCCAGGTCTGGGACTCAAACCGTGGTTGACCACACGGGAATCCAGGGCATTAACTATTACACCACCTACTGGTTTTTTTTTTTTTTTTTTGGAGAGATTTTCACTGTAGGGCGCGTGCGCTCGCCAGACAGACAGAGAGAGACATAGAGACAGAAGGCGAGAAATCACCCCCCAGGGGGGATGGTCACACTGCAATCCCTTCTCCTCCATTCTCCTCTCGGGATCTTGGGCACACACGCAAACGCGCCCGGCGTGAGTTTTAAGCCACCGGGTCCGGGACTCGAACCGCGGTCAACTACATGGGAGTCCAGTGACATAGCCATTACGCTAACTGCTGGTTCCCCACCACCTACTGGTTTTCAGAAATACTTTTATGTATGTACTAAGGAGAAAAGGTTTTGTAACTATTATCAGCATTCCAGAAATCAAAATTAGCCAACATAATATGTTAAGTAAAGTAAGATGATAGCGTACATATTTTAGTGACAGATTGGTCTGAGAGTTTTGTATATTATGGGCTATATGCAAAATTCCTCATAACTACTCATTAATATCAACATTCTTTCCTGAAAAAATACTTTTAGAAAATGAGTGATGTTTTCCTCTTGAAATCTGAAGTCTTGGAATAAAAATGAGAAAGGAAATTTTGAATGAAATATCCAACAATTCACTTAAAATGTGATGTATTTGAAGGTCAACCAGGAGGCATGGTGGTTAAAGCTGCTTGACTCCATATGGCGGACTTTGGAGATTGAGCCCTGGACCTGGCAGCTTGATAAACACGCTGGCACATATGCATGAGTGCCCAAAATCCCAAGAGGAGAATGGGTGAGAAGGAATTGTGACATGGGGGTGGGGGAACGGGAAGGAGGTTGGGGGGAAGGTAAATTTGGGGGCAGGTAGAGTTGGGGGAAGGTGGGGTGGAGGTTGTAGGGGGAATGTTTTCTCACTTTCTCTCTCTGGTGAGCACATGTGCTCTCTGGCAAAATTTTTTAAAAATGTAGACAAGAAAGAAGAATGGAATAAAGAAGAAATTGTTCTGGAATGGCCTCATGACCTAGTGATTAAGAGATTCAGATTACACATGATTAGCCATATAGTTTGAATCCTGGCCCCAGAGGCTTGAAAAACTCCTCAGGAACATATGTGTGAACGTCCAAACACTGACAGGATGGAGAAATGGAGAAGATATCTCAGTGTGACTGTGATTTCTCCCTCCTTCTCCATCTCTCTCTCACAATGCCCCCTGGCAAAAGAAAGAGATTTTTAAAATGGGGGGGAAAAGCCATATAAACAATACCCAGAGACAACTATGGGTTTCAATCTTTCTTTTTGAAACACTTTATACTTTCTTGGAAAACAATAACTGTGTACATACTGCATGGATGGTTTCATAATTTATTTTTCCCACACTTAATACTACAAAAATTTGGGGCGGCAGCTGGTGCAATCGTTACCTCGTTACGTTGCTGGACTCCCACATAGTTGACCATAGTTCAAATCTCTGACCTGGAGGCTTAAAACTCATGCCAGGAGTGTGTGTGTGCCCAAAATCCCAAGAGGAGAATGGAGAAGAAGGGATTGTGGCATGGCCATCTTCCCTGGCAAGGTAATTTTTCACTTTTTGCCTCTTCATCTCTGGTGTACACACATATCCTATAGCAAAACAAACAAACAAACAAAAAATACTCTTAAAAAAACTACAAAAACTTACCATGTTGTTATATACATTATATAAACATTTAACATTGTTACCTAAAATGCTAGAGCAGATATAGTTAAATTTAAGATAGTTTTCATATTTTTTATTTCTGCATCATAAATAATACAGTGATACAGAGATCATGAATAAAGTTTTTGTTCTATTCAGGTTATTTCCTTCAGAAAGAAATTCATAAATGGGATTATGGGTTCTAAGAGTTATGAACATTCTTTTTTTTTTTTTTTTTTGAGAGAGAGGTTTTTGTTACAGGGTGCGTGTGCTCGCCAGAAAGACAGAGAGACAGACAGAAAGCAAGAAATCACCCCCCATGGGGGATGGCCACACAGCAATCCCTTCTCCTCCATTCTCCTCTCAGGATCTTGGGCACACACGCAAATGCAGCTGGCATGAGTTTAAGCCACAGGGTGAGGAACTAGAACCGTGGTTGACTACATGGGAGTTCAGCAACAGAGCCATTACGCCAACTGCTGGTCCCAGAGTTAGGAACATTTTTTTTTTTTTTTTTTTTT